ATCACATCAAAAAAAAAGTCTGAAAATAGGTACAGTGTGTCAAACCTGTAGACCTCCTGTTTCTATGAAACTGGGATGGGGGCATCTTCCGATATTTTTTCTGTGGAGCTATGCTAGTTTGTTTTTTTTTAATAATTTTGTGTATACTGTTTTCTTGAGTATTTACTGTCAATAAATAAACATTTATTTTTTAAAATTTTCAAAAATTTTTAATTTTTTTATTAATTTATTTTTAGTTTCTAACATTCACTTTCACAAGATTTTGAGACCCAAATTTTCTCCTCATCTCATCCTTCCCCACATCCCAAGACAGCGTGCATTCTGAATACTCCACCCCCTAATCTGCCCTCCCTCTTATCTCCCCCTCTTCTCTTATTCCCTTCCCCTTCTATTTTCCTGTAGGGCAGGATAGATTTCTATACCCCATTGCCTGTACATCTTATTTCCCAGTTGCATGTGAAAACAATTTTTAACATTTGTTTTTAAAACTTTGGGTCCCAAATTTTCTTTCTTCTTCCCTCCCTACCCACCCTCATTGAGAAGACAAGCAACTCGATACAGGTTATATCATGCAAAACACTTCTATAGTAGTCGTGTTGTGAAAAACTAACTATATTTCCCTTCATCCTATCCCACCTCCCATTTATTCTATTCTCTCTTTTGATCCTGTCCCTCCTCAAAAGTGTTTACTTCTGATTACGCCCTCCCCTAATCTGTCCTCCCTTCTATCACACCCCCCTCATCTCCTTTCCCACTATTTTCCTGTAGGGTAAGATAGATTTCCATACCCAATTGAGTGTGAATGTCAATAAACATTTATTAAGCCCCTATTATGATCTAGGCATTGTGCTAAGCACTGGGGATACAAAAAGAAGCAAAAGAGGTAATCTCTGTCCTCAAGGAACTTACAGTCTAATGGGGAAGACAACACGCTAACAACTACGTACACACAAGTTATAAAGGATAAATAGGAAATAATTAAGAGAGGGAAGGGACTGAAATTAGGAGGGTTTGAGGAAGGTTTTCTATAGTAGGTTGGGACCTTAAGGAAGCCAAGGAGGTCAGCAGTCTGACTGGAGAAGGGAGAGAGTTCGAGGTATGGGGTCAGTTCATGTAAATGAACATGAATCTGTTCACATAAATATCTCCATGTTTCTTAATATTTGTTGTATTTGTCATTTCTTGTAGCACAGTAATACTCCATTACATTCATATAAAACCATTTGTTTAGCCATTACTTAATTGATGGGCATCTACTTTACTTCTAATTCTAATTTTTTGCTTTTGCAAAACATGCTGCTATAATTATTTTGGTGTTTATGAGAACTTTTTTTTTTTAATCAATGACTTCCTACAAATAAACGTAGTAGTAGAATCTCTGGGTTAAAAAGTATAGATATTTCTGTCATTTTATTTGTTTAATTTCAAACTGCTTTCCAAAATGATTACATTAATTAATAGTTCCAACAATGCACTATTGTGCCTTTCTTTCCATAATCCCTCCAACATAAACTATTCCTGTTTTTCATTATCTTTGCCAATCTTCAGGGTGAGAAGTGAAACCTCAAGGTCGTTTTGATTTGCTATTAGTAATTTGGAGCATTTTTTTTTCATATGGTTGTTAATACTCTGCCTTTCTTTTTTTGAGGACTGTTTATACCTAAGATACCAGACCCTTATCATAGAAATTTGATACAAAGATTTTTTCCGCCATTTTACCATTTTCCTTTTTATCCTTAGTATATTATTTTGTTTGTAAGAAACTTTTCGGTTTCATATAATCAAAGTTATCTACTTTATTTTTTGTCTATCTTGTTTGGTTAAAAATTCATTTCCTTAACACTTATATGAGCTGATACAATGTGAAGTGAGCAGAACCAAAAGAACACTGTATACAGTAATAGCAATAGTGTAACGATAATCAACTGTGAAAGACTTAGCTACTCTGATCAGTACAATGATCTACAACAATTCCAAAGGACTCATGATGAAAATTTTATCCACCATCAGAGAGAGAACTGATGAATTCTGAGGGCAGATTGAAGTATATTTTTTATTTACCTTTCTTGCTTTTTTAAAAAACATGATTAAAGTGAAAATGTGTGGCATAACTTCTTATGTATAGTGGATATCATATTTCTTGCATTCTCAATGGTTAAGAGGGGGAATTTGGAACTGAAAATAAAAATTTTTAAAAAAAGAAAGAAATTACCTCTTACTCATAGTTGTGAAAGGGAAATGATTTCTTTTCTAATTTTGTTTTTTATGGTATGATCTTTAGTATTAAAGTCACATATTTATTTAGATGGATATATACAACATAAAGAACTGGTTTAAGTCTAATTTCTGCCAGACTGCTTTCCAGTTTGTGTGTGTGTGTGTGTGTGTGTGTGTTACTAAAATAGTTCTTCTAAATACTGTATGCTTTTTGGTTTATTGAATATTGAGTTACTGAATTCCACTGTTTCTGATTCTCTCTCTGTTCTACTCATCCATCTCCTTCTTTGTTAACCAATAGAAGACGGTTTTGATGACAGATGCTTTATTAATTCAGTATGAGAACTAGAAGTGCTATTCCCCCTTTGTCACTATCTCTCTTCATTATTTCTCTTAATATTCTAAACCTTTTGTTTTTCCAAATGAATTTTCTGTATTATTTTGTTGAGTTCTGTAAAGTATTCCTTTGATAATTTGACTGGTAAAGCTTTAAAACTATAAATTAACTTTGTTATTATTTTTATTATAATGGCATAAACTAGCCACAAGTACTGAATATTCTTCCAGGTATTTAAATTATTCTTTATTTCTTTAAGTGGTACTTTTAAATTTAATTTATACAAGTATTTCGTGTGCTTTGGCAAACAGATCTACAAATATTTGAGGCATTTCATAGTTTTTGGCATGGGATATTTCCCTTTTTACTACTGCTTCTTAGATTTTATTAGTGGGTACTGTTATTATAAAAATTCTGTTGATTTTTGAGAATTTATTCTGTAACTTGCAACTTTGCTAAAATTATTGTCTCAATTAGTATCTCTGCTGATTCTGTGACTTCATGTCATCCGCGAATAAGGATAACTCTATCTCTTCTTTACCTGCCTTTTTTGCCTTTGATTTTTTTTACTATTGCTAGCATTTCCAGAACTATATCAAATAACTGTGGGGAGAATGGTCATCCTTGTTTTATTTTTGTATTTATTGGGAAAGCTTCTGGTGTATCCCTATTACATATGCTATTTGCTTCTGATTTTAGACCGATGCTGTACATGCTTATGTACTTATTGTCTCCCCAGACAGACAGTTCTTTGTATTTATATTTCCATTGTCTAGCACACAGCAGGTGCTTAATTGGTTTCTGCTGACAAAGGCAGTAGGCAAGGTAGTAATTAATCAATTAATTAATTAATCAAGTAATTAACCCAGATTTTATTAAGCATCTACTATGTGTCAGGCATGGTGCTAGGGATAAAAGATAAAAATGAAACAATCCCTGTATTCAAGGAGCTTACATTCTATTAAGGAAACAGCATACATATATAATCATAGAGCAATTTCAAGGACAAGTTGTATTAGAAGCTAGAGTGAATAGGAAAAAGCCTCAGGTAGGAGGTAGGGTTTAAGAAAAGCTATGAAGAAAATGAGGGATTTTATGAGGCAGTGATGGAAATAGAACATCCTGTGGGAAGAAGAGGAAGAATGCCAGTTTGGTTATCCTGTAAAAGTATATGTAGAAGAGTCATGTATAATACGCCTAACAAGACTGGTAGGTGGGATTTGGATTCTGAAAGGTTTTCAATGTCTTCAGAGAGGAAAGAGAGAGCCACAGGAGCAAGGCAGTGACAGGGTCAGATCTATACTTCAGAAAATCATTTTGGTAGCTGGGTATGGACAGGAGAAGCTTGTGACAGTGAGACTAATTAGGAGCCCACTCCAAGAGGGTAACAGGTGATGAGAGTTTGAATTAGGGTAGTGGATATATGTAGTGATGAAAGTTAAGACTGGTGGGCAAAGTATTGATAAGATTTGGGAATTAAATGAATATTAGCAGTGAGTGAAGGAGGATCAAGAGTCAAGGACGATGACTCAGAGGCAGCAAGGTGGCACAGTGGATAGAGCACTGGCCTTGAAGTCAGGAGGACCTGAGTTCAAATCCGGCCTCAGACACATTATACTCACTAGCTGTGTGATCCTGGGCAAGTCACTTAACCCCACTGCCTCATCCAAAAAAAAAAAAGATGATGACTCAAATCTTTGGAAAAGGGGTGGGATTTGGGGAAAAGGTGAGTAGTTCTATTTTGGACATGTTAAGTTTCAGATGTCTATAGGTTATCTAGGTTGAAATAGATAGCCAGTGATGAGGGACTGCAGCTAAGGTGTGAGACTAAGGCTAAACATGTATATTACTGGAAATCATCTGCAGAGATAATAATTCAATCTATTGGAGCAGATGAGGTCTCCGAGTGTGAGAATTTGGGGAGAAGATGGTCCAGCACAGAGTCTTGGCTACATACATTTAGAGGGGTAAGATATGGATAATGATCAAGCAAAGGAGACAGAGGAGCAGTAACAAATCAGGAGGAGGGCCAAAAGAGCACAACATCATGAAATTCCAGAGAGGAGAAAGTATCAAGGAGGAAAAGGTGATTAACAGTGTCATATGCTTCAGAGAAGTCAAGAAGGATAATGACTGAGAAAAGACTACAGGATTTAGCAATCAAGAAGTAATTAGTAACTCTGGTTCAGACATTTGTTAGCTGTGTGAGCATGGGAAAGTCACTTACACTTCTGAATCTTAGTTTTGTCATTTTTAAAAACAGAGATAATAATGCTTGTACTACGACGTGTACATGTACTACCTACTACTTCTTAAGATTATTAGGAAAGTGCTTTGCTTTAAAGCACCACATAAGCATGTGCTTCTATTGCTCAGAGATGAACTTAGACATACCAATTAGTCCTTTTTATTAATTGCAAATTTGATAAAACCAAAAGTTACTTACTCTTCCAATTTCTGCAGTCCAGGAAACAACAATGGTGTTTGGTACAGTTGTGGACAATCGGACAAGTGAGGTGATATTAATTGGTCGGCTGGGTCGCTTTGGTTCCACACCATTTTTGGTAGGTGGAAGATAGCCCTAAAAATGTAAAATGTAAAAATTTCTATTCATTCTTTCCCATAATTTCAAATGTTATTCTTTTTTAAAAAATAATTTATTTTGAATTATCAATATTCACTTCCATAAGCTTTTGAGTTTTAAATTTTTCTCCCCCTCCCTCCTTACCTCTTTCCCCAAGATGGCGCACAATCTGATACAGGCTATACATATACAATCCTATTAAACATATTTTCACATTAGTGATGTTGTAAGTAAGAATTAGAACCAACAGGAGGAACCACAAGAAAGAGGAAACAAAACAAAATATAAGAAAAAATGGCAAATAATGTTTCGATCTGCATTCAAAATGTTATTGTTTTAATAAAAACTTTGTACACAGATTGCTACTGAATATGGGTTTTTTTTTCCATTAAAGTCAAGAGAAACAAGTGTTTTCCTGGAATAAGATTTAAAAATTTACAGCATGGTTGAATTTGAAGCCTTTGTTAAACAATTTTTATCACATCTTCATATGCAGATCTTATGCTTTTTTTTTAAAAGACTAAAAGCTTGGTGTGTTAAGCCTGCAATAAAGTATTACTGACTACATTTCAAAGAAATCAGTAAGAGTTAAAGAATGAGAAGATACCATGTACCAGAATTTCAGAAGAATATGTATCCATACATTCATAAAAAGAAGTCTGTGGGTACATCTCATTCAATCTAACTTGAAATCCTTGACCTTGGCCCTTGTCTTTTTAATGTTTTCCTTCAGTCTCTGCCTTACGATAGCTTCTGTTAAATGTGTTATCTCTATGTAGTCTATACAAATGCTTCAATTTCTGACTCGGTCAAAATTTTCATAATTAGATCACATTATTGATTAAAGCCATGATGGTTATGCTTTGACAGATAAGCTGACAACACACTTTAAGAATTCTGGACTTACTGGAAGGCTACAAGTTTTCCCATTAACTTTTACACAAAGATTGGGTGGGAAATGATCTTCTTGTGGACAACTGGTTTCTGATAAACAAAACCTAAAAAACATGAGAAAAAGATTTAATCATCTTTCAAAATTATAACTTTACTAACATTTCTGTTCAACAGGTAACTTAGAAATTTTCAGAATATGTTGATGACCCAGTAATTTGGCTAAAAATATTAAGTATTTATTATGGTTTTTCAACATCTCTCACTGATGGAAAAAAAGCTTTTAAAATAATTCTATCCCCATTAGCTTCAGTAATACTACTGAGAATCTATATGGTTATCTTCACAACAGTTCTCATCATCCTATACTATCAATTTCTCAAGGGAAATACTTTATACATAGTGTGTAGCCTGTGTATAAAGTATTTATACAAGCTGTAGCTCTAATAACCCTTTTTCAACAACCAAATCCTGTATGTGAGGGTCTTGTGCTCAGCTGCCTCCCGGGAACTGATTACAAGAGTGTTTTTTTCTCCCAAAACTCTGCCTTAGTCTTAGAAGGTAGACGTATAATATTGCTGAGTTTCCAGTTCCCTAAGCCAATAAAGGTCTTGATAGAAAAAAAACAAAAAACAAAAAACCGAAGGACTTGAGAGAATAGTTTTTACAGTGATTCTAAAAGTAGTCTCAGTGATTTCAAAAACTGGCAGTGGAAGCTGTTCTATATGACAAAGTATAATTAAGCAGCTATACAATGACATTACTTGCACTGCATTCATATTTAAATCGAAACAAAACATTTCAGAAACCCTTTACCTTTCAGCTATGCACATAATACTCTGGGGGAAAAAAGGAAGCATAGCTATACAATGGATAAACTCTAATTTTACTCTGTTATGTAAATTTAAGAAATGAATTATGAGGTTTACTCTTTTCAATCTACTGTAAGTTACCACCTCTCTAACTAAAACACAAACTTGCCTGTCATTACATCATTACCAAATATTCACAGCTCATTATGGAACTAACAAGTTTTTTTTAAAGGAGATTTCTTTCTTTCCTTTTATTTCTTCCCTTGCCCTGTGGTACTTAATATTGAATCTATTTGACCATTTTCATCACAAATACCCTCCCCTCAACATCTTGAGAAGTCTTCTAAAAGCAAGTCAGGAAACTTACATCAAAAAAAAAGAAACAAACCCAAAAAGGTCAATAAATGTATGATCTTCTCTCTCTATATTTACTTATATATTATCAGATCAACTCTGAACACTATGAAAAAGTGATTAGAAACTACTCAACTTAGTAGCTAATTATATAGTATTCGACCCATCACTTAAACAAATGTAAAATATGGAAAACAAATCCCTTGAGGGACAAAAGTATAGTAATTTGGCTGCCAAGACTCTTTCCTAAGGAGACAACTCAAACCTTATTAAATTAGGCCAAAAACAAAAACTCAAAACCATACCAAGACGCAGGAAAGAATGAGGAAATGAAATAAGTGGAAGAATGTCTGCATGCATAAATAGTTTAGAGGAAAATGATACACAGATGAAAAGAGCTGGAGTTAAACTGGAAAAACAAAGGGTTAATTTCTGATAAAATTATTTATGTATTTGATATTATCTTTTATTAACATTAGTCACATATAAAGTAACTGACTTACAAAAAATTTAAAAAAAAAACCCCAATTCTAAAGATTAATGGATTTATTAAGTCAAATGATCAGCTACTTAAAAGAATAAAATTCTATTTCCTGGGTATACTGCTGCATATAAGCCTTGTATAAAAACAAAACAACAACAAAACCCACCTTTACTCTTGAATTGTTTATATATAAACTGATCAAGCCTAGAAAATACATTAAAGATTTTTCTTATACCTAATATCTGGCACTGTTCTAAGAACGTTCAATACATTAACATAATCTGCTAAGAATATAATCAGAATATACCTATTCCTTTTCCAACTAAGTGGAGATTATCAAGCTGGAAAATAAATAGTAAGATGATAATTATCCCTAAATATGATCAGGGTAGGGGTGGGTAGGAGAAACCTCAGTTAGTCCTTTCATTTCCTGCTCACCACCTTTGACATACACCTTACCCATTCTTGCCTCCAAACTATGCCAGGCCCATGACACTTTTCCAGTTTGGAATGCCCTCCATATCTTTCTCTGCCTCCCCAAATCCTACTCATCTCCTCCAAGATGCAGTTCAGATTCTACCTCCTTCATGAGAATTTTCCCAACTATTTTAACTTCTAGTGATCTCAAAAATAGTATCACATTTATAATATCTACAACACTTAACAATGGATCCTAAGAGTTATTTCTTGATCTCTAATTGTGTTCCTTATCAGTTTTGCCTCCCTAATTAGACTGGAATAAGCTCCTTAAGGGCAAAGGGATGTCATTCTTTTCTTTTTGGTTCTCTAGAGAGCCCACCACAATATTATAAATATGGTACTGTACCGATTTAACAAACAGTTACTGATTGACTGAAAATCTGTGGTACCAGGTGGTTTACATGGACAAGAAGATAAACTGCATATCACCACACAAACAAAATAGTATGGGGTAAAGAAGTTAGAAAACTGGTGGTAGTAGCATCAGTTCTGGAAAATATACTATCAGGGTAAGCAAAAAATATCAACTGTTTCACATGGAGTCTTTTAATTATACTGTGTTTAGTTTGCTGATTACACATTTTACAGCAAATCAAACTCAGATGATGGTCTGATTACTGTATGACAATAAGAGGTCACTTAGATAACTAGTATTATTCCTTTAGCTAACTGCAGTATTTTTGTTCCCTATACATAAGCCCTCTATATTTTAAAAGAGCTGATCACTATAATATTTCAAGACTATAAACAGTAAAGTTTTCTTAATACTTATAGCAGACTTCTACATAACCAAACTGAGAAATTCAGCTTAGGAAAGAACCTGTTATGATGAAATCTGTCTTGGACAAAACTTAGCATAGCTGGTATATAATTATACACAGCCACAAAAAAACTACAAAGAATGGGGAGAACCCAGGATACAAATAACTTTTTATCCTCACTTTCAGTATAATTAACAGCAAGCAGATGAATACCCCTAAAAAACTTCATTTATACATTTTTTACTTTTATGTATTAACTTTTAAAGTATCAAAATATTTTACACTATAATTAAGACTTACCTTAGCTGGACTTGTACTGTGAAGTCACATTTAGTTCCAGAAATATCCCTAGAAAATACAGGACAGAAATAGAAATATTATAGTGTATGCATGTGAAAGTGAAAATTAAAAAAAAAAGCACTTGTTTCAGTAAAAGGCTGCTGAACAAATATAATCAGAGAAATGACTGCTTTTATAGTCTCTGCAGCACAGGTTAGGTTAAGTGTACTTGAAACTCATCCAAAATACATCACATGCTGTAATAACATCTTATACTCAATACTAAGTTCAAATGCCACACTGTAAGTTATATTGGAAGACAACTTACATGGAACTACTGATTTGTTGCACTTGTTGTGGAGTCAATGCAAATGCAAAACAGGTTTCTCGAAAACGCTGACTGTTGTCGGATGCTAAAGAAAAAAAGAATTATAGTTTTAATTACCTTCCATTACATCAACAAAGAAGACATTAGAAAAAATAACTGACGTTCCCTCAATGGATTAAAATGTTTTAGAGTTGTAAATAAAGTACTTAAAACAAAAACAATGCCCTAGCTGTATAAATGGACTAAAGCAGTAAAAGAACATTTCGATTAGTTTTGAAAAAAAAACAGAATCAAAATAAAATATTGAAATTTAAATTCAAAAAGTATATTGTCAAAAACACTAACAAGACATAAAAAGATACTGCTTTGTAGATACGTGTGTACTCATATACATTATCACAAAATGGAAAAAAAACTGCCACTCATATTTAAATAAACTAATGGTGAATAAGAAATGCGGATTTTTGAAGTAAACATTTTAGAATAAGAAAGAAATCTTAAAATTAATTCAGCTAAGATTATACTTGGTCCTTAAGACAAATAATTTTATCACCTCTCCTCCTATAATATAATGCAAAGGCTTTTCAATGTTTTCAAATTTTAGCCATAACCACTACTTTAAATGTAAGATGTAAAACTACATCTTATGCAAGAAGGTGGCTCAGGGAAGTGACTGAAAGGCTAATGACAGGGTAAGACACAAATCATTCACTATAAAGGGATAAAATACCATTTACAGGTAACCAATTCCAATCCAAGCTAAAGCTATAAAAACACAAAATAGATCTATCTCAAAGTCATTTAGTAACTGGTCATTTATGTTTTGATTTATAACAACAAAAAAGGCCATTGAACACTCTAGACTGGTCAGTTTCTTGAAGTTCACTTGTTAAATTGCAGATTAAACAGAGAAGATAGCTAATATACAAAAATTAAATCAGAAATTGTATCTTTCTCTCAATCTCCTTTTTCTTCCTTCAATACAAGCACTGAAGAAGTAGTGATTGTGGTGTTTTTTACTAAGCAACTTCCTATTTATTCAGTCAACAAACATTTATCCAGCATTAGTGTATGCGAGGAATTGTATTAGGATACCAAGATGGGGGATAAAAAAAGTTCTTGCCATTAAAGTGTTTACAAGTTAATAAAGGGATTAAGGCTTGAGGACAAATTACTATTAAGTAGAATATGATATAGACAAAGGAGGGGTTAAGACAAAGTACTATAAGAAATATGAGTAAGTTAGCACTTTCACTTGGGGATGGCAAATACAAGAAAGACTTCATGAAGGAAGATTGCACCTGGTCCAGGCTTTGAAGTAAAGGAAGGATTTCAATACACAGAGATAAGAGAGGACTGCTTTCCAGAATAAATTACATGAATGCATAGAGTTGAATTTTAGAGGATGATATCAATAGCAGGATTGTACAAGGCTTGAAGAAAAATAGTGAGAAATCAAGCTAGAAAGGTAGGTTACAATATACTATAATAAGACTTTTAATGGCAGATGAAAGAATTTACATTGTATTCTGAAAGCAAATAGGAGCCAATAAAGATTTTTAATTGGGGAGGTGATATGGTAAAATTTATGCATTAGGAAGATTATTTTGGCAGCTGGATAAAGGATATATTTAGGGAAGGGAAGGAAAGAAAGAAGGGAGGAAAATTAATAGGTTTCACTAATTTTACTTACATTTTCTAGAATGGAAAAAAAAATGCCTCTCTGTCACAGGAAGAACTATTTTACACCTGTGATAGCTTAATGATTTTATAAAGAAAAAAAACTCTCCATGTGTATTCTAAACGTTTGATTCTACTCATGATCAACATTTCCCTAACAATCAGCACCACAATACATACTCACAGAAAAACAGAGGAAAACGTGTATAAATGTGTCACTATAATAAAGTACGAAAGACCTCCAGGCTTTTATAACTTCAGTGTAGAAATATATTTTAATGGGCCTAAAAGCTGTATTTATTTTGCTACTTTGTTATAAACTAGCATGCTGTTTGGTGTCCTAGGTAGGATTTAGAGAAAATAACTGTACATGTGGATCACAGTTTATTCTTAAAGAAATAATTTTCACAACTTAACTTTCAAAAGGTCCTCTACTTAACTGAAATGCACTGTAATGTCTGGTTTCAAAGACAAACATAGAAACAAAAGACAAGCCTGTAACAAAGCAGATCTTCTCTGTTAGCTAAAAAGAAATATCAATAACTAGTTTGGATTCTCAAAGGGGTCCCATTTAAATTGTGTAAAGACTTCAATCTAATCTAGCAAGCCAAGCTTATTTTAGATCTTTGGCTCTGTTCCTAGACCAGTACTAAAATAATGTCACAAGTAGAAAAATTCATAGCATTTTTAGGCAAAATTTCAGAGCCCTTTCAATAGATACGAGGGAAGTACATACATTTTATACTCTCCCACCTTGCCCCCTCAGCATGTGCACTAGATCCTACGAGTAGCTTTAAAGTTATCTGTTTGAAGAATGAATGTCTCTTGACATACAAAATATTTTATATATTAGAACTAGGTGCTTTGGTATAGGGAGCACAGTGCAGGTTCAAAGAAATAAAACAGTACCATTACCCTCAAAGAGATTATGATTTCCCTCTTGGTTTCAATACCATTTTCTCTTTATTGTCCTAATGTCTCTAGTAACCGCTCCTTTTCTTTCACTTGCTACCTTTCTTCTTGTCCTTTTCTACTCAGATACTCCCTTTTCTCAAGCAATCTCATTCACTCCCAGTTTCAATGACCACCTCTTAAGCCAGATAACTTTCACATTCATCTCCAACACCAACATTTTTTTGTGTGTGTGTTTCAGGTCCACATCTCCAACAGCTCATAGGATGTTAGTGCCATTCTACCCGCACCTTAAACTCATTATCTGAAAGTGAACTTATTCTCTTTTCCCCTAAACCTCCTCCTACATTCTGACTTCACTTGGTCAGTGGTGAACCATTTATCTAGTGTTGCAAGGTCAAAATGTTGGGGTTACCTTAGACTCTTATATCTGTACTTCTCACATCCAGCTAGTTAACACATATTGTAAAATTGATTGCTGCAACATATTTAATACTAGTCCCCTGCTCTCTAGTCCTACCGATACAACTGCAGTAGGGAAAGGAAGGAACAGATACAGAAAGAACTACAGTAGCCTTCTAAAAGGTCTTATCTCCACTCCAATCCATCCTTCATACTGCTGTTAGACTAACTGTCTTGATGCAGAGAACTGGACATGGCTATCACAAGTTTAGCTAGAACAATTCTTCCCATGTCAAGAAGGTCTTGTTAGTATCAAACACTCTGTTCAAAAACATCAGAAGCTCTCTGTGGTCTCCTAAGTAAAGTTCCATTGCCAGCTATCTTAAGCCCATCCACAATTTGGTATCATCCCACTTTTCCAGCTTATCTCCTCCTACTCTCTTCCATGAATCCTATGTTCCGAGTAAGAGACCCAAACCTACTCTATCTTGTATCATATTTTGTGCAACTGCTGGGGCTAAGTCTTGTTTTCCTGAATTAAGTTTAGTTTTCCTATAAATCACATGATTTCAAGGAAGCAATTTTTATTATTGAACCACTAGCTGTTTTATAGGATGCAGATGGATGCAACCAATCAGGATCCCTGAACTCTGGAAAGTCCCAAAATCTTTAAATAGTTACTACTAAAAATAGTAACTTTACATAAAAACCCTTCTAAATCTCTCTTCAAGGTCCTGGTGCCTACTGAGGGGGCCCTGGACCCGATTTGTTCTGTAACTGCATGCCTTGCTAATAAATTGTGTACCTCTGACTTTGTTTTCTCAGTTATTATAAAACTGCTCACAACACAAGTCGACTGGACTTGAAACCTTCACTGACTGAAACCTACTACATCCACTCTGAGTTTTTGAGCCCAAATATAGAACATATAGAAAGTTATCCTCTATTAAATTTCATCTTATTAGATCTGGCACATCAATTCAACCTTTTAAGATCTTTCTGGATTCAGACTGTTATCTACTGTGCTAGCTCTTACTCCCAGCACTTTGTGTCATCTGTAAATCTGACAGGCATGACTTTTATGTTTCCATTCAAATTTCTAATAAAACTTTGGAAAAGCAGGTGGCAATGGATAGATTCCTATAAGACTTAACTGGAGACGTCTATCCAAGCTGACACTGATCTGTTAGTTATTATTCTTGGGGTTCAGACTGGTCCTTCAACCAGTCCCAAATGTACCTAATTGTGTTATAATTTAACTCACATCTCTGTTTTGTGCACAAAGACAGCATTAAAGACTATTAAACAGTTTGATGAAATCAGAGTATTCTATATCTATAGCATTTTCCTAATCTCCCTGTCATGTTACTATGTCAACAATGTAAAAGTTAGTCTGGCATGACCTATACTTGATGAAGACAAACTGGCTCTTTGTAATCACCATTTCCCTTTAACATGTTCACAAAGCATCCCTTTTTAATAATATGTTCTAGAATTCTTCCAGGAAAAGAAGTCAAACTCCCTGGCCTGCAAATATAATTTTCTTTTATGAAAATCAGGATGTTTGCCCTTCTGTACTCCTATAGAATCTTTCCTATTCACTACAGTCTTTTAAAGATCACTGGCAGCAGCTTAGCAAGCCACATATGCTTATTTAAAATTTTCACGTGTTCAGTTGTTTTTCAGTCTTAGCTGACTCTGTGTGATCCCATTTCGGGTTTTCTTGGTAAAGATACTGGAGTGACTTGACATTTCCTTTTCCAGTTCATTTTACAGATGAGGAAAATGAGGCAAACAATTAAGTGACCTACCCAGGGTCACACAGCTAATAAATGTTTGAGGGCAGATTGGAACTCAGGAAGAGAAGTCTCCTGACTCCAAGCCCAGCATTTTATCCACTGTGCCACCTAGCTTCCTGTTTAAATTTAGATGTAAGTTTTTTAAATTTAACTTAAATTTTCTCTCATCAACTTAGGGCTATTTTCCCACTTGTCAATAGCATCACCGTAAAGCAATACCACAACATGAGCTTTTGTTTTGAAGATTATGATGAAACTGGGGCATCTTTGAAATCTTGTGTTGTTTTTCCTT